TCATCTTCTGTGTGCAGAAGTCCTTGAAGAATCTTCTGTAGTGATAGCTTGGTGGTCATATACTGTTTTAGCTTCTGTTTATTGTGAAAGATTTTTATTTCTCCAGCAATTTTTGAATGACAGTTTTCCTGGGTAGAGTATCCTAGTGTTGAAGTTATTTTCATTCAGTGCCTGAAATACCTCCCTCCGTGCCCCTTTTGCTTTTAATGTTTCTGTTGGGAAATCTATTATTTTGATAGGTTTACCTTTATATGTTATTTGTTTTTTCTCTCTTACAGCCTTCAATGTTCTTTTTCTGTACTCTATACTTGTTGTTTTGATGATTATATGCTGTGCAGAAGTTCTATTTTACTTAGGTCTGTTTGATGTTCTGGAGCCTTCCAGAACAAGACTTTCTCAAGATTTGGGAAATTTTCTGTTATTATTTTTTTGAATATGTTACATATCCCTTTAGTTTTCACTTCTTCTTCTTCTTCTTCAATGCCCATGATTCTTAGGTTTGGTCTTTTGATGGAGTCACTGAGTTCCTGCATATTCCTTTCACAGCTCTTGAGTTGTATGACTAAGATTTCTTCTGTTTTTTCTTCATTTTGTCTTTTATCAAGTTCTAAGAGTCTGTCTTCCACTTGTTCTAGTCCAGTGGAGTTGCCTTCCATTGTGTTTTTTGTTTGAATATAGGGACTTTTAATTTCCAGGATTTCTGTTTGATTCTTTCTTCTGAGGTTTTCCAAATCTGTGATCAGCTCTTCTTTTATAATTTGTGTGGTCCTCTTTAATTCATGTATCACTCTTTTTGTAGTGTTATTTGTTTTTCTTTGGTGTTTGTTGAGGTTCTCTCTAAATTCCCTTATTTTTTTCTGTGTCATCTCATGTTCTTTATTTTTGGTGTCTTGAAATTTCTTGAGAGCATGTTGTACATTCTGGTGGACCATGTCTAATGTATTCTCCATGAATTTGTCAGAGATTTCTTCTTTGAGATTTTTCTTTGTGGCCATTGCTGAGTTCCTTAGTTACATTTATCATTGTTTTGTTGAGGTCAGGGACTGGGTATCCACTTTCTTAATTTCTCACTGAATTCTGTATTAAATTTTTTTTTTTGAGGAGAGTGGTTTCCATCCCTTCTTCTACTTCCCATCACTCCAATTGGTTCTGTGCTACTGGGCTAGTTGGTGGATTTGATTGCCTGATTTCTTTCCCAGATTTAATTTTTGTGTTGTGACTTACTTGTTTGTTAGCTAGGTTGATGAGCTTTATCTGACCCTGGTCAAGGGATGTGATTAAGTATTAACAAATTCACAGATTCAATGCCAGACCAGTTGTTAACATAATCTATAGAAAACCCCTTGATGATAATATCTATAAACAGTCTGAGTTGGGGGGGCAGGTAATGGTTACTAGGCTAGCTATAGATTATAGGGAATTGATAAAGGCAGCACTAAAAATAGGGGTGTGGGAAAAGGAGTTGGTGAGTGGCTTGAGAGTCATGGGATTTGCTGGGTTTTGTGGCCTTTGTGTGTGTTTGGGTGTATTTCTGTTGTTGTAGTGGAGGGTGTTTGTGTCAGTGATTACAGGAGGCTGGGTTTGTGTGCAGTTGGTATATTAGGCTAGTCAGCAGGTGGTAAGTATATAGGAGAGAAGGGTAGTAAGGTTGGGGGAGGATGGGAGGAGAGGTGAAGACAGGGAAAAGAGTGGATGAGAAGGGGCAGAAAGAGTAGTTAGTACAGGAGAAGGAGGAAGAGTGAAGAGGTTGAGAATAAGAATAAGAGATTAGTGATGATGGAGTTAATGATACATGAACCTCAGAAAGTTCAGTCTATTAATAAAAGTTCTGGAGTCATTCCTTAGGTGTCAAATCCTGGTACTGGTGTTCAAGCAGAAGCTCTGATGTGTTCTCACCAGGTGACTGGCTGTGAGTGGTATTTGAACTTTGGTGTTTTTCTTCAGCTGCTGCTCTGTTTGGTCAGCTCCTCCCCCAGCAAGGTGGAGCAATTCAGTTTTGAATGCTGCCCTCTGTCCCTGAGATCAGTTCTGGGATCCACCTCCTGCCCTGACTTGGGAGGTTAGTTTGTCCCTCCACTCACTCTCTCAGCCTTTATGCCTCTCCTGATCTCTTGTGGGTGCTGACACCTCCTCTAGGAGGTTGGCTTGTTGGCCAGCCCCTGCTCACAGCCTTTGCTGCTTTATGGCACATCTGAGAGTTTGGCACCAAAGAGCTCCATTTCTTGTCACACCCCTGACAGTTCAGCAGTGACAGACTGGCTCTTTGTCCCTCCCCTATTCTCTAGGGCAGGTTCAGCGTTCAGCCCCCACCTCTGATGTTGGTGTTAGATTACAGTTTGCTGTTTATGGCTTTCAATTTTCCTGGGGGAGGGGGATGCAGTCTACCCAGGTTCTCAAAGTAGTCTTTGATGATTCCCTGGATTTCCTTGGTGTTTGTTGTTGTCTCCCCTTTTTCTTTTCTGATTTTACTGATTTGGGTTTTTCCCCTCATTTTAGTCAGCTTTGCCAGAAGCTTGTCAATCTTGTTTATTTTTTCAAAGAACCAGCTTTTTGTTTGATTGCTTCTTTGTACTTTCTTTCTTTTTTTTTTTTTTTGGTCTCTGTTTTATTAATTTTGGCCCTTATTTTTATTATTTCTCTCCTTCTGCTTGTTTAGGGTTTTGCTTGCTCTTGCTTTTCTAGGTATTTGAGATGTAGCATTAGGTTGTTTGTTTGAGATCTTTCTGTCCTTTTAATATATGCATTCATGGCTATAAACTTTCCTCTTAGGACTGCCTTTGCTGTGTCCCATAGATTCTGGTAGGTCATGTTTTCATTTTCATTAACTTCCAATTTTTTGCATATTCTCTGCTGTTGTTTTTGTTGTTGAGTTCTAGTTTTAATGCATTGCAATCACATAGAATGCAGGAGATTATTTCTATTTTCTTATGTTTGCTGAGGCTTGCTTTGTCCCCTACAGTATGATGCTGAGAAGAATGTACACTGTGTGGATATTGGATGAAATATTCTGTAGACATTGGCTAGGTCCATTTGATCTATGGTGTGATTTAGTTCTAGAATTTCTTTATTGATTTTTTGTTTAGATGACCTATCTATTGGTGATAGGAGGATATTAGTAATTCAGTAGTTCTCTTAGGAAGTGCCCAGCTTCTGGGCATTTACCTATCAACCAGTCATGTTTCAGTAAGGGAAGAAGATACTATTCTAGCAGGGCCTTGTACATTTGGTTGGAAGCACTCCTGTGGCCTTGGGTCTGGTCCAGGTGTGAAATTAGCAGACCAGCCAATGGTAAGTGCTCTTTCTTGGTGACTGGTCATTTGATCATTTGACCTTGCTGCCTGGGTCATGGAGGTTGAGTGTGGCAGAGAGCTTGGAAAACCTGTCTCAGGTGCTGAACAGAAAGCTCCACAGGTTTCTTCAGGGAGAGTATGAATTTACCCATTGGTAACAGGTTGAGTTGGTTTTGTATATGGATTTCAAGTATACTCTTTCCTTCTTTCAAAGAAGTACAGTTGTTTTACTTTTGTAGCATCAGACTCCTTGTCTATTTTGTACATATTCCTTATGTTAGTACATATTCCTTATGTACTAACCCCAGTTATTTTTTTAGCTTTACATCCACAAGCTCTTTTTGTACAATATTAATTTATCTAAGTTAAGAGACTTAAATTTATTGAAACAATGGGTTACTGTCTTACAAGCTGAAAATTTAAAAATTTCAAGGAAATGCATAACTAATCAATCCGTATTACAGCCAATGATCTTTCTAAAATGTACACACATTGCTTAATGTCCTTTAATAATTGTCTTAATGAAGAAAAGAGTCTACATAATCTGACAGTTACTTACATCTTCAGCTTTTGCCTTTGCCATTTATGAACCCATCCCTGCTATACACATGCAAATAAATGCCCACATTTTTCAGTTAGTTTCAAACCAAGGTCAAATGCAGAACTCTGTTTTGGAATATGGCATAATTTTCTTCAGGCTATAGAGACATTTTTAATTTTGTTCCCTTTCTATTAAATATTTAATAAATTGGTGAATCTAACTGTATCATGGTAGAAGAGGCTGCTAATTTCTTTTAAATTATGAAAATGTGTTATTTTATTAACTGGCTTTAGCTATAGATACATTCTTAGATAAAGTGTTAATTAAACTTATTACTTTATGTTTCCTTGTTTGGAATTATTCTTTTACTTGGGAACACATAGTCTTAATGGGTTGCTATACCGAGTAGAGAAGGGGTTGAAAGATAGACTTATATGGGTGTTTCTTTACTTTGTCCCGTAGACCCTGGGATATAACGATGGGTTCAGTAATGATTCAGGAAAATTAGAAACATCTCTGAAACCCCCATTGTTCATCTTTGTCAGTCAGAATCTCTTTGGAATCTTGTGAACAGCATAAATCCAGTCCAACTTCTTTCTTAAATAAGGGATTCCAAGATACAATCCTAAAGTGGAAGGAACTGTATGAACTTTTTCTGACCCTGGGTTTGTGTGGTAATTTAAAGCACTACTATGAATAATTTAAAACAGTTTATCCAGATAATGGAGAAAATATCTTTCCAATTTCTTTTTTGACCTACTAACTTTCAAGACATGATTTTTTAAAAGAACTGTTCTAGCCAAATGGCTCAAATTGTGTTATCTTGTTCTCTAAGTTGAATGTGTTCATTCTTGTAATTAACATTAAAAACAATCTAATAGATCTTTTTTTTTTAGAAAGAGTGATTGATAACTGTCTACATTTTGCTTTCCGGTTACTTTGATATTTTTAAGTTCAGGACCATAAGGCATAAATTTAATGAAACCAAAATTCTTTAGTCTATTTCTTGGTGTCGTATCACTTAATTGTTTTGCCTCAAATAACATACAAAGCTTTAAATTTTTTTAAAAAAACACAAATTATAATGAATAGTTTATCATTGTTAGCAATTGTCCTTACAATTTTCTTTTTTGTTATCCTGTGAATAACAAAAATTTCATATCATGTAGGGTAGAGAAGAATTCTTGAAAAAGCTCACTCGAGGTGAAGTGGCTGCTGGAATTGTGATTCAGGTAATACTAATTTGGTTTCAATATTTTACTCTTCCTTGAATTTGCATTTTACTTAGCATTTTAAATTTGTCTGTAATGAGGCATCTTGTCACTGCTTGCTTTGCAAGCCAGCAGTCTTCTCTCCTTAGCTGATGACAGTGCCCTCTGTGTACAGCGAGCAGTGTCTGATCATGCGTAAAGAGAGTGACCTCCTATACACATATCTCATTTTGTGGCTTAATGGGAATTTCTGCCAGTCTAGTAAAAGGGCAGTGAGATCTTATTCCTAAGTGTCTAACTCTTTAGTTTGCTTTGTGATGATGTTGTGTTTTCTTTACTTTTAGTGTGTCTTACTTGAATTTCTTTATTTAACCCTGGGGGTAGGGGGAAACCTGTGCTTTGATATTTCTATATAAAGATTTTGAAATGAAAGAATGATAATCAGCAGGACTAACTTTAATCTCTTAATTTTTATTTTTTAATCTTTTAACCTGCATATATATCCTTCGGAACTCAGGTGGAGTTTTTTGGTTCATGACAAAGTTCTAGAATGCCTCCCATCGGAAATATAAAATTTTGATTATTTTTAGAAGAAAACCACAATCACTATGTAAAACAAAACAAAACAGTGTCATGTCAGATTATCTGCATTTTTGGTTCCTTTTGAAGCATAGGCAAATTTTTGATTTTATAAATATTAGCTCAAAAAATCCCATATTCTTTCCAATAATATTTCCTAATATTTTCATATTAACTTCTGGTTAACCTGGTTTCATTTTGTCTTAGATTGTAAGAATTGCATATATTCCATTGCATGTTGTCAGTGTGTTCTCTAATTTACCATACTCCAACACATACCTGACAATGTTAGATTTTTATTGCCTGTTAAATATTTTCTCTCATTTGTTCTAATAAAACTGTGGATACTATATTTGTACCCATTGCTTTTTATGGTGGACTATATTATTTGATTTTCAAATAGCAACAAAGATGACTGCCTGGTACTGAAGAGGAGCTCAAGAAGTGTTTAGGCAATTAATATCTGACTAAATTATTTAAAATCTTTGCTGGCAGAAAATACTGTATTCCATTCAAGAAGCCCAGCTCATTGAAAGGCAGTCTTTGGTGAAAAAGAAAGCAATGTATGTCCTAGTACTAGAGGAAATAGAATCACCTATGCTCCAATTGGAAAATGATGCCATAAGAATCAGAACTATTCACGACAAACATGCTGGCGTAAGCATTTATAATAATTTACCATATATGCACTAATTTGTAATTAATCCAGAAAGTATCTGCAGGATTAAGCATTTAGGTTCATAAATTATATGTGGAAATTTACATTGTTATTTGGAAAATTATAACTTCACATAGTGATACCATAGATACACTAAGTAACTCTTTCACAACCACTGACCAACAATGGAACTATTTAGCTAGACCTGTTATATAGAAACCTACACTTTACCTTAGAAAATAGCAGTTTTCAAATGGGTGAAAGCTGTGACTCATCTGGTGGGATTACCCACTATGGAAAACTTAATTCATTCTTCTTTGCTTTTATAAATGAATGGTGAAGCTGTGTTTATTTGCATTTAAAATATAAGGCATCCTAATGTTTTTATGGTACATTTTTGATGCATATAGAAATTAAGTCAGCTAGGGTGAAAAATAAAGCAAATGTTGATAAAATATCTATAAGTTTATGGCAGTAACTGATATTACTAGCCCTTCCCAAAGAAAAATTTAATAGAAAAATATGTATACATCCTACCATTAGCCTTTTGAAGAAGCAGAGGGTGTGGTAAGAGTTATACATTCTTGTCCTCCCTGCTGAGAGTATATACATACATTTGTTTGGACCATTTTGGCAATAGGATATTTTTGTTTTCTTTCAAATGATGATGTAACTTTATATTCTTGGTTGTTAGTAAATTTCAGTATGTCTTTATTTTTAAAAAGTGATTTACAAAGGGCTGCTATAATATATGTTTGTTTTGATAGTCAAAGCTTCATTACAAAATAGATAAGAAGGAATTTACTGGTATCATAAACTAGAGAAAACTTGGACCTCACCAGGTTCAGCAACTTGTACAAGGTCATAAAGCATAGAAATAACAAAATCTGAGTAATACTCTATTTAAGACTTCTAAATGCTGTTCTAGCACTCATGTAATAAATATATAACCACTGCTAATACCTAATGGGATAAATGATTTTAATAATGGCTCTCCCTTACATTAATGATGGAAATTTATTAATTACATCAACAGCCTCAGTGTAATTGTCTGAGTATGATAATGAATCCCAGAAATGATTAATGACTTTTGTTTCCCCTTATTTTATAATAGCCATGAGTTTATATCTTCTTGTAGTTCAGTAATCATTTTTTATTTCATTATATTTTAGCTGTGAATAAATTATTAGAACTAGTCACTGAGCACAAACTCTTGGAAAGAATAAGTTTTTACACACTTTTTGGTAATGATTGCTCAAAGTTTGTGGTTAAAGTTTTAATTTCAGTTAAAGTGTATTAAATATAATAAAAATGTATAATGTATGCTTTTATATTTTAGTTACTTACCTAAAATTAATGATTTTGTTCTCTCAGTTAATAAAAATAGAATATTGGGATTTGGGATATCAGAGTATGTTTCGTGCAGTTGCTCTTTCCCTTTATTTACCCAAATAACCATTGTCAGTATTAAACTAGTCACCTAGGCATTATTGTCTACATCAGGAGTAAATGTTGCACAACTTAATATCTGATGGTCTTCTAGGCACTTCGTGATATACTTAAACGGAAAAACCAAGTTCAAAAGTCAGTGGAAAAAACAAAGAAAAAGTTACGAAGTAGGGGGAAGAAAACTCGTGTTGTGCTGACCGAAACTGCGGTGAGAAATTTAATTTAAAAAAATTCTGAATTTATAGTTTCTTTATGTCAATGAAAACTAGCTAACTAAACTTGCAGTGGATTCCTTCCATTTCTAATTGCTCACACTAACTGGGTTCTTTGTGCACAGCACACGCATACAGACATACATGCAATTTCTGTATCTTTTTCACTGGTCTCAAGTGTATATGGACAATAGTTCCTAATCACGATCAGATGAAAAGCAAAATGCATATTGGATTTTTGCAGAAATCTACTGTTTTCTGTAATTGCAATGCTGGTTCCTAGTGCCTGAAGCTTTAAGGAAGCAGTGAAAAAGAGGAGAAAATAGAAAGGAAAAAGGGAAGGAAAGGAAGGAAGAAATGTGTCCCTCCAAAATTATGTTGCAACAATTTCCAGTGCAATAGCGTTAGGAAGGGAGGCCTCTGGGAGATGGTTAGGTCATGAGGACTCACTCTCATGAATGGGATTCATGCCCTTAAAAAGGGGGCCAAGGGTGCCTGCTCCCCCCTTCCCTCATGTGAGGAGCAAGAAGGCATCGGTTTTTGAAGCAGAGAGGAAGCCATCATTGTACACCAAATTTGCTGGTGCCTCATTCTTAGACTTTATGACCTCTAGAACTGTAGGAAATAAATTTATGCTGTTTACAAATTACCCATTATAAGATATTTTGTTGCAAAAGTGCTAAACCAGGAGAGAAAGGAGGAAGGAAAGGAAGGGAGGGAAGGGGAGTGGAGGGGAAGGAAAAAGGGAAGAAGAAAAGGAGAAAGAGAAGCTGAAATTGAACTTTAAAAATACATGATTACACTTTTATTTAATAGATGGAATATTTTATTGCCATGGATCTACTGTTTTAGTTCCAAATCCACCAATCTTCACAATCTGTCATTTTGAAACTATAAAATAATCACCTTTAAACAAAAATATGCTTATAAACAAGCAAGTGTTTTCTTTTTAGATGCAGTACTTTGAATCAATTATATGATCGTTTAACATTAATCTCACATAATTTGGCTTTATATTCAAAAAGACGAAATTTTAATTTAAAAGTATATACAATTCTTTAAAATTTAAACAAGTTACTAGCAAGATTTTGTTTTTTGAAAGCTTTTTCACGTAGCTAACTAAAGTCAATTTTTTCTCATTCATCTGACTACTGCCTTGTATGCAAAGCCTTTATTTATTTTGTCAGCATAGATAAAGCATTGACTGTATATGATAATGTGATCATCCATTTTGCTAGGCAAAGCAGCTCCACTGTATTTTCATTGGCAAAGATACAATTAGCTTTCTAAGTTATATGATACTCTATGGGAGTCACAGTTCAGCTAAGATATTTCTCAGTATGGTTCAAGGGCAAAAGGTCATTTTCTAATATTCTTATTTTTATTTCCATTTTAAAAAGGACATTGTTATCTGAATTATGGTAGTGTCCTTATTACCCACAAGCAACATTCGTTTCTCTTCCCCTCAAAATTCTCAGACATGAAATTTCCTAAGAAATTTCAACAGTTTCCTGAATTCACACTTCCTATTTGGCTCATGTCATCTATCTCTTACCCTTTTTTATCCCCCTAAGTTGTGGAGCAAAAATACTTTAAAATATCAGTTGTACAAAGAAAAAACTAACTTTTTCCAATTGAGGTGGGAATAGAACCCAAACTTGACTGGCAGAGTCGTCATCCTTTTCAGTCAACAGGAGTAGGCAAGGAAAGAGACACATCAATACCTTCTGAAGCATTATGAAAGTAATACCCAAGAAAGATGCAAAAGTATAGGAGAAAGTTCTCTGAACTGATTAACTGAAAGAATCAGTGGGATTATGTCTATGAATTTCTAATGGAATAAGCTTTGGCTGAAGACTTGTCTTCCTGTGATCTTATAGAAAATGAAAGATCATATATATGAATAGAAAGCCAAAAGTATAATTGGCCCTGAAAGTATGAAATGAATGGTTTCTATTATTATTATTATCAGTATATAATTGTAACATTTTAGAAACAGATTCTATGTTTGCTAAATAATGACACATGGAGAGAATGCTGTATCATGGAATTGCACATAGTTCAATACAGCCAGATGAAGAGTACTGTGCCCTGTTATTGAACCCTATTCTAAGGAAACTTTGAGCCTGTTAAAATATCAGTCATCATTGGTTAACATTTATTAAGTACTAATTAAGCCTATTCCAATGCAAAACAAGTTGCTAAAGACACCATTTTTGTCTTCTCAGAACTTAAGTTCTAAGATGAGTGGTTTTATCTTTCACTGCATGTAAACATTTTAATCATGAGCCAAGCTAACCAGTACTATTGAATTTTTATTATGTTTAACCTCAATTTAAATCTTAGGTATAGAATCTGAATTTATTACATTTAGGTTATATAAAATTATTTATCATCTTAAATAAAAATTAAAAATACAATTTAAAATAAGCATTTAGTATCTGAATCTTATAATTGTGGTCTAGTGTTGTGAATACGTATCTTTTGAAAGTTTTTGAAATAATAAAGTAATGAGTTTAACATTAAATAGTAAAATATTGGCTGCAATTCAGATTTCCCTTCAAGGCCTGGACATGTGAACATGTGAATAGTTTCAAGTGGAAAACCTACAAATTACTGGAATGTGTATTACCCAGGCTAGGGAAAAATACTGCCAGAGAGTGGTCCATTTGCAAAGCACTATTTTCATGTTCCTTGCTGTGGTGACATTTCAACATTCATCAAAGGAATTACAAATAGCAACTAGGGTCCACATTTTTTTTGCACTCATGATGCATAGATTTGCACTTTTGCATGTGGCATCTGTCAGTTTCTTCTCTCCAAACACAGCCCACAACAGGAACATCTATAATATTTTTGGTACCATGAAGGGAGGCATGTTGTCCACCCTTACCAAAGACTCAATGATGGTACCCATTAAAGTTGCCCAGGTACAATGTTTTGCTTTTCACTGATATCCTCAGGAAATGCACTATTGTAGAATCTTCTAGTGCCACTTTCAGAATTGCTGGATTGGCTGGTATGCTTCAAGTAGTTGACACCACTGCTTTTCAAGCCTTCTCAGTTTCCCATAAGGATCCTTAATTAAGACTAGCGAATGAATCATGAAGTCTAATTTTATAATAGGATAGCTTACTATACCCAAAGTTGTCCATCCTCTTTGGCTCCTATTTACTTTAATCTATACTTATGCCCTCACACCCCCTTTCTTTAGATTGACTTTTTTTCCTCTAAGAATAACATAATATCCCACTGAGACCATCAAAGTATCCCATCTAGATCTCTTTCCTCCACTTTATAACATAAAAAATAAGAAAAAAATTTCATCTGTCAGTAGGAAATTTCAGAACTTTCAGAAGAAGAAAACACAGCAGAAGTGAAAATTCATATATAGTACTCAATATACTTCCATCTTAGACAAACAGAAAATTTTTATAGAAAAAATACTAAAATTAGTCATTCTTCTTGAAGTCTGTGTGTAGAGAAAAGATTAGGGAACACAGTGGGTAAAGGGAGCAATTGAGATCTGTTCAGTTGGGAAAATAAAAGAAATAAGAAGCAAACCTGGATGTGGGGAACAATATTCAATAACTTGTTCAATTGGTAAGTCAGTCAGTCAATGTGATCACTTCACAGTTCTGAAGGGATCATGAAAAACTAGTTGGAACATCACAACTTCAACCTGGGATTGCACAGGCCCACCTTTGGAAATTGTAAGAAAAGTTATTATTCTTGGCTACCAATGGCCTTGTGTTTGTATCTTGCTTATGAAGTGTGCATCAGTATATATATAGAGAGAGAGAGAAGACAAGTTTGTGCAGAAGAGGGGCAGGTGAGAAAAGAAGAGAAAGAGGATAGTTTTAAGTTGTCTTTTAGAGAATTCATCTGATGTAAAAGTGGAAAATATAAACCTAACTTGTTACCTATATTAATAAGAGGTTGTTATTTGTTTTTAATTGTTTATATAGCCAATGTAATTCTGTCTATACTCTGCAAGGGTTTGACAATTCATGTACTTAAAACAAAACATCTCTAATTTTTTTTTCAGGACAAACGTTCAACAGTTTATAAAGAATTAGAAATAACTAAGAGCAAAACAATCACTTTTAATACAAAAATACAGGAATTGAAAAAGGAATTAAAAGAAATGGAAGAGCAAAAGATAAATTTTGACAAGAAACTTGAAATTTTAAAGTAAGTACTTAAATTCTATCAAAAAACCCCACTTTCAAGATATTACTGATCAAAGAAATAAAATCAAATTTCCAGATTTAAAATTTATTCTTAAAATGGTTCATGTTTTCTATCATAATTTTATGTGCAATATATGTAATATTTAATCAATTAGGTTTATACAAACATAATTATAAATTATTTTCATTCTTCATTGTTCCCCTGGATTTATTTTTATGTGAATGGGGATTTTTTCCTTTTCTAAATGTATAGCCTTTTCATTATATTAATGATATTCTCCCTTAATTTCAATATTTCCCAGTATGTATGTACCATGTTTAATAATTTATGATTTTTCATATAACTTTCTGTGGATTATAGTTTTGAGGTAAGAAGTTAGGAATATTCTATATAACCTCACCTAATTTAATCACACCAACCTCAAAAGCCATTTCTGGTCACCTCATCAGTTAAGGCTAACTATGGTTAGTGAGGTGTTTGACTTGGAGAATGTCATGCCTAAGGCTCACAAGGAGTCTGTAGACCCTCACCCGGAATCCATGTTCACCTTCTTTACTCATCTTGGGTTTTTTTTCGTATTTTGAAAACATCGAGAACTGGGCTTGGAGGACTTTTAGAGGAATATGCATTGGTCATATTTAGGAATGATAGTGATTTAAATATAGAAGACTAGTATAAACATTATTACAATTTAATACTTAAGGAATAAAGTATTAAAAAGCCGCACATTCTGATACCATACACTTTAATAGAGTTAAGCCAATGCACCCAACGAGGATTCATTTAGCTAATAAGAAGGTAAAATTGTATTTTCAACACGATCATACTATTTTTATCTGAAAAAGACTAAATTATTCTTTGGCATATATAAGAAAGCAATGGAACATATCATTTACTTTAAAAGTTATTTATTGACATTGTTTAACACCTATAAAAATATTATGGGACTCCAATGTTTAAATCTAAAATTATATGATTTATACTAAACCTGTAAATACCTAACTCAGGAGCCAATGAAATTTTCTTCAGGCTTCTTACTATTTCAATCTTAAACTCTTCTTCAATACTATATCTAGATTATAATTCCTTTCAGGCAAGAATGATCACCGTGTTCCAGTAAGTCAATCCCTTCTTTGATATTGATAAAATTCTGTCTTTCCACAAGTAAAGAAGTAAAAGAATAAGCCAATAGTGTGGTATTACGTTCAAAACAGTTAACTATAGTGACTAATTAATGATTAATTATCTATCATGATGGATATATCAAGTCATATTTAAAGGCGCTATTGATTGACTTGCTAATGTGTCAGGCACTTTGCTGGACAATGTACACCACTGCATCTCATTCTCACAGAAGATCCCTAAAGTATATATTATTTGCAAATGACTGCCGAGGAAATAAAATTAGGAAATTTAAATGATTGTCTTAAGATCACATAACTAATTAACTGTAGGGCTTAGCTTCAGCTTAACTCTACCTTGTTGCTAAATATATGCTCTTTTGACTGTATGTACCAGCTCCCCACACTAGAATTGCAAAAGAAGATTACTGCAGACACACTGTGCTAGGAGTAGACCAGTGGTGTTTTTAATAGGTGATGATATCAAGTGAATAATTATTTAATGAGAACCATACTAGGCCTAGTGGCAGGACCTAAGAAGCTCAAAGAAATGGCAAATGTGAGAGTGTACCTTCAAGTGGCTGAAGCTCTTTTTCAGAGAGAAAAACCTTGCATATGCAAGACAAAATATGGTGTTAAAAATAACAGTGATCAAAGCTGTCCTTGGCTTTTATTTAATTTTTATAATTCCTTCAAGCCAGACCCCTAACTCTTCAAAATTTGTTCTTTTTTATCATTATGAGAAAGAAAACACGGTTTGCATAGATAATAAAGTACTGCAATGCATATAATAAAATCTCAAAACATTTACTATACAGAACAAAGTATATATGGTCAAGATATGGCAATGTTTGTTGGGAAGAACTATGGGCATCACAAGTTTTTTGGTCAGACTGGCTCCTCCCATGTGAATTTCCGTGATTCCCAGGTACCCTACAATGTTAATATCATTGAATACTTAGATGAACTCATCATTCAAGAGTTTGAAGTGTTATTGGTACGAATTGGAAGTGGAAAAAAAACAGAGCAAGGCATATGAAAGAGGTGAACTTTTTCCAGGTAGGAGAGGCTCATATGCACTAAATGAATCAGGAATCATGTTTTCAAAAATCCTAATAACAGCCAGAGTAAAGAAAGAAAAACATAAGTACTTAGCATTGAACAACTGAAACAAACAGAAAAAAAAGCAGACAAGATTTGAATTCTGGCCTTATTTATTAACCAAGCTAATTTGCTATGCCTGTTTAGGTTCCTCAAATGTAAATGCCTAGAAAAATCATTCACTCATAGGGTTTGGGGTTGCATTAAATGAGATACTATTAAAATCACTTTAACATTTTTAGCCCTTCCAAAAAATATTAGTCTTACTTCCTTTACAGCCAATTGTGCAAGTGATTTAATTTTCTATATCAGTAGAGATGTCAGCTAATATGGTAGCACAGGACTGCTGAGTTTTCGCAGTTAGGTTTATTCCATAATCTGGGTTGCAACTCAACCGGCAATTATTTCTTAAACATTTTAAAAAAAGAAACATTTAAAAAAAAATGTTTCTTGTTACAATATTGTTTTATCCACTTTCTGATGCCTTATCTACAGATATTTTTCACTGAGTAAAATGTAAGTGTGATTTTTACCTCTGTAACAGGTTGTAATTAATTGCATAGGAAAACACACACACACACACACACACACACACACACACACACAGTCCTTGAAGGCCTTTGGAAGGGACTAGAAAAAATGTCCAAGGACTTTCAATATTGAACCTTCTTTGAATGTATCACAAACATTTCAGAAAAGAAAATTTGAACCTACTAGTGACACATGAAATTTTTTCCTTTTCAGTAATGAATTTTTAGATGTGAGATTTAAAAAGGAGCACTTACAAGCTGTGTTTGATCATCTCATGGAGGAGAAAAGAAACTGTGAAGACAGGATCACAGAGGAAGCTCTCAAATTTAGAAGACTCATTGCCACTAGGCAACAAACTCTGGCAAATATCCAAGTCAGTATTATTTTTGACTGCTTTAAAATGAAACAAATATAATGATAGTCAAATTAGAAGTTAGTTTGAGACACTCATTTTTCATGCTGAAGTAGCAAGGATTTTAAAACTAAATTTGCTAGAAAAGGCATGTAACTTTAGGTTGTATTTAATCTAGGACCATTTTTATGTTTTTTTATGAAGATGTGAGGATGGTTGTATTTCATTTCTGAATAGATATGCTTTTAAAGATACTGACCACTTTTTGATAAATGAGAATATTTTATACTATTTTCCTTTAGAAAACATTTTGTGTAATATGTTAATGGTACTGTGTAGCTACATCTTTGGAACAGGGAAATCATATGATAAAATGTATCTTTTACATCTAAATTCTTGTTAATCAAATTTTATAAAGCTATAGCTATTAAATTTTTACATAGACTGAAGTAAATGACATACATTTAAATGATTCCTATCCCATTTTATACTTTGTAATAGTTTTTGTTATACTTTAGTTGAAATGAATTAATATCACATCTTAAAATGATACTTTGAAATGTTTATTTTTAAGAGACACAATGGTAAATTTTTCTTAAAATATAAAAAATATTTTACCTTATAAAAACTATTGTTTGCAAAACTTTTAAAGATATATGCATTACCATCATACAATTTTATCACCTATTTTTATCGTAATATTTACATATTCAAATGTTACTTGCATGTTCAACTATTATATCTGTAATTATTGCAATTATTTTCTTTTTACATATTCAAAGACAGTGTTAGTATATTAAAAAATATTTGGAACAAATGTGCATTGAATAAACAAGTATGTGGGTAAATGAACATAGTACTATTGCTGTTGTCTATACTATGACAAAATTATTAACAAAGCAATGATAGTGGTCATAAGTAACAGTCTTGCCTTGTATGTATGGTCATTACCTAGAAAAAGACTTTTTTTTTTTGGCCTAAAAAAATGAAAAATATTGGTGCCATCTAGTGGCAATAAGTGATTCTGAGAACTGAGGGCTGTGTCTCAGGAACCTGAGCTGTGAATGGAGGAGATGCTTAGAATGAAAAGCACCTCACTCGAAGGGGACTTCTGTTAGGTGCTGACTTGAGCATCATTCTTCACCTCATATTTTATCACAGTAGTAGCAAGAGTTATTTGAGTTCAGTCACATTGTCCAATCATACTGGTGCTGAGAACACAAAGGCATTTCAGTGATCTTTTATTGAGTGGCATTCCAGACTTCAGTGGAACAATAATAATTAGTGAAATGGCAAAATATGGTCAACAGGAGAGAGATGAAAAATATCCTGTCTAACCAGCTCCTAGATTGTTGAGATTTACATTTCTTTTAATCAAAAAGCCAGTCCTTACCTTCCTATTCTGGAGTGTACCCATTTCCAGACTCTTGGAAGTATCATAGGGTCTCTTTAGTGCTCCTCTAAAGCACTAGTCTCTATATGAACTGGTTTTATTCACTCACTTGTACTTTTTTGTTGTCTGTTGCTCTCCTGCTGTAATAATGGCTTCCCTATGAGGGCATGGACTTCCCTATCACATTTTTCTCTAAATCCTGAAAGCTCAGAACTATGTCTGGCACAAGGGAAGCACATACTAAACACTTGATGGGTGGATATTCATTTTGGTGATTTTGGTGTGTGTACATTTTGGTGATTTTTGTGTGTGTACATAGCAGTCTTAGCTGCTATGTCCCAGAATTATTGCTGATACAACAAGGCACTATCTGTATGGAATTTGAATATTTTTGCTCTGGCAATCAACCTCCTTTTTTAGCTTTTGCTTCAGCTTCCTAGAGGCATCTATTGCAATACATGCCTAGAGTCCATTTCAATTTTCCTATACACTAGTGTTTTCTGTGTAGTTCTGATAATACTCTATGAACACAATTTAAAATGTGACTTTTTTAGGTAACTGTCATATTCCCAGGGGACTGCCACTTTTGCAATGCCTACCCCCATAGCAGAGTAATAGGAAAAATACATGATGTTTTTCTCTTTTGATTAATTAAAATAATTATGTGTTCAGCTTCCAAATATCAAATTACATGCTTAAATATACCTTAACTGGCAATAGTTTATTAAAATTTTGATAACATAAGTGGATTCAATTTGTAATCATTTAACTTAAAATATTTATTGCTCTATTGTTCTATTTGGTACTTTGTTAGAGATTGTAGCAGAGATTTATTACAACTTTTTATAAAAGTGGGGGTTTTTTCCCCCACTTTTTTCCATGTGAAATAACATTGGGCAATGTTATTTCAGTTCTTTCAATTCCTTAAAGATTTTGAGGAATTCTCCCATGATACTATCAAGCTATGTGAAGGGTCTGAGATTTTATCCTTTTTACAAGCAACCAAATTAGGCTGACACAATCTCAAAGATGCTGGCAGAAGACCAGAAGCTGATGGTTGAGAGATGAAGGACTTGGCAATTCACTCATTACACACCTGGCAGCATGAACTTTGCAAAGGTTTTCCCTGGCTCCAAGTCTCACAAGGGTGATATGAAGATGCTTTGTCTGGATGTTACATGTATAGAAGATTTTTATCATCATAACTGTTGAACTCCAAATGTAGGAATCTCCACTTTTACTTGGGAGCTTGTAGTAACCTTACCAAACATTTGACTTAGAGGAAGACCTTACATTTGAATAGTGGTTCTGGATAAAAGCTGTCATAAGAATGTTATAAATACCATGTCATGCTAAGGAGTTTGCATGTGCTGGATTAGGAATAATTCATCAGAAAGGTGACAAAGCTATCATATCAGTCAAGAAAAATCCCATGGAAGTGAACAGATCTTTTCTCTAGTCTATTGTTGGTGCTAACAGACTATTATTGGATAGAGACTTTGATATTGTTAACACTTAAATTTATTAGGAACAGCCTAAGAATGCTGGCAAGAGGATTCAAAATACTCTTCCATCAACCCTTTTCCCTTTATTGATGGCCAGTGTAGTGAGGTACATTCTAAGATAAAAAATGGTTCACTATCATTAATTACATGTAATAAGTTGTAAAAGAATGCACAGTGTTGAACAAAGTGATACTGGCAAAGAATTCAGTGGCAAAACCAAAAGGTAAAAAAGGTTTTCTGAAATAATGCAGATAGAATTTGATGACTTTTGGGGTGCTGATGGAGGAAGTGTGTGTTTGTGTGAGTGTGTGTGTAAGTTTTCTAACTGACAGCAGGATAGTTAATGTGTCCAACAGCTAAATATAAAGCCTACCAGTTGAGGAACAGATTTGAAACTGGATTTAATCAAATTTGACATAACTCTGGAATATCTCCTTGGAGTCATTTCTCAATTGAAGGTAAGAATCTAGAACTCAGGAAACAAAAACTTGAGTGTAGATATGGTTGTGGAAATTATACACATAGGTATTGCATCAGGGACTTGAAGAAATCTTTTAACAACACAGGGATGATTGAAAAAATTGTCAAGACACAGCTCTAGTAGGTTAAGCATGAGATGGAAAAGGGGAGTATGAATAGAAGCAAAAGGCTCAGAGATTGGAGTCAGCAAGCAAGGTTTAGGAATTTAATACTTCTGAAGTGGTGCCATTCTGGGTAACAGAGTCAGAAGGGTGACCATGGGTATGAATAGCTAATGGAACATGGAATTAAAGTTAACTTGATTTGAGTAAGTCCATAAATTCTAAGATTAAAATGTTGGATAGGTCATCAAGATTGATACTGAAGTAAAACAGAATGAGGATGGAACAATGGATAGACAGGGAGAAAAGATTGAGTCCTTTAGGTCAAAGTCTTCCATCAGGGTGGAAAAAAGATCAGGAGCCTATTCAATAACAGTTTAATAAGGTGATTGAGGTATTGTACTCTTCAATCAAAACAAAACTCCAAACTAGTAACACTTTTACATGAGCATGAAGGAATGATATTGGAAAACAATAATGGAGAGCTAGGATTATGCCAAACTGCAACTTGACCTCCTAGTACATGAGGCCTTGAGAAAGTAATTTCTGTAATTCTAGCAGATTTAGTTAATGCAAACAGTAATACCTGGCTAAGGTTCAAATATGTTGAAGCTTATTTACCAAGAAATGGTACTTGTAGAGCTCACATTAGAAAGGTTTAGAGTGGGAAAATTACTCCGTTTAATTGATAAGTGTATATTGAGTTCCTGCCACATAAAATATACTCTTTTTTGATACTGAGGATTATTGGAATAAAGCACAGTCCTTAACTCTGAGAGATAAATCAACCTCACAACTAGAATCGCAAGCATCATTTTAATGTTTTGCTAAACAGAGACCATCAAAGGAAGAACAAGAGAGTTAAAATACAACTAACTTCTAGGTGCTGGGAATTCAGGTCAGTGGTAGAGCATTTGCCTAGCATGCTTGACACTCAAGGCTCCAAAGAAAGTACTACAAAGAAAGTAACCATAGGGCTGGTGGAGTGACTCGAGTGGTAGAGCCCCTGGCTAGCAAGCATGAGTCCCTGATTTCAAACCCTAGTACTGTCAAAAATGAAATAAAGAAAAGAAAGAAGGAAAGGAAGGGAGGAAGGAAAGGAGGGAGGGAGGGAGGAAGGAAGGAAGGAAAAAATTTTTAAATACTGTTGCCTTTCCTCTTATCAAAAGAGGTTCTCAAAGGCAGAAAGCAAGTTATGGGATCTCCAACACTTGATATGGTTTTGTCTCACCTGTACCATTATGTTATAAGATGTACTTGTATAATAGTGGGCCTGTATAGTATTCAAAACTAAAAAAAAATACATAAAATGGTCTAAGCATTGCTGAATACAATAATACATTATTTTCCTTATTTGGACTGTTCGTATAATTAAAAGGACCTCCTATTACCCTCTCTACTTTCTTTAAAATGGTATGAATTTTACTTGACTTGTTACCTTCAAGAAGGTAACTTGCTTTCAGAAAAATCTGATGTTACAGAAATGAGATATCTATAGGATTATGATGTTGATAAGCATAGATCTTAGCCTAGAATGTTCCA